TTCCAAGGCTGTAAATCTTTACAGGAGCAGAAAGCCTCATTTTTCTCCTGCGGAATAGCTGGTAGTTTCAAACCACTGACCTTAAGGTTCACAGCCCCATTCGTAACCACTACATTGCTAGAGCTCCTTAGGATTCCATTGTTGTTGTTGTTGTTGTTAAGTTCCATAGAGTCGGTTCCGACCCATAGCGACCCTGTACAGGGTTTCCGAGGGTGAGGATTCCATTAGGGATGAATTAATTAAATGCTTGACCAAATATAGCTGGCTAATTATTAAGTTGATAATTTTGTATGGTCCACAAATGATGTTATGAATTTTAGCAGAAAAAAGGTTCCCCATCATTGCAATAGGGCCTAGCCCCCATCACCCATCCTGTTTAGCCAGCCTGACATCGACTCTAGGCAACTCCGGAAGCTGCCGCTCTCTCCTTTATTTAAGCATTTTAGCAAGGCTCCTTCTTTCTTTCTCTTAGAAAACCCAATGTTTTCATGAGTCTGCAGCCACTGTGATGAATCCTGCTCCTGAAGTCAACTGCAAAAACCATGTGGGGATCATGTCTGACTTTTTCTGACTTCAGAAGTAGGAAAGAGAACCAAACTCAAAATTAGTCCAAGGCCGATTCCTATGAAGTGGAGGTCTATATCAGTGTCTTTAAAATTAGTCTGACTTAAGTACCAATTTCAAAAACCCATATTTGTGATTTTGTTTCTCTAGAACCCCACTATCTTGGTACTACATGTCTTAGGCCAGGTTTTCTAGAAAAGCAAAACCATTGAAGCATATGTATGTACCTATAAAGAGAAGTTTATTATTAAGGACGTGGCTAAAATTGTAGAGTCCTAGCTCCTCAGTGGAAGAGAGAGTCTTTTCCGCATGTCCATTATATTGGGAGCAGGCCACAACCCCAACAAGGTATACTTTCAATTGATTGACTGCTCATGGCCATTCATAGTAGAGATAACTATAGCTGTATTAAGTTACATCTTAACTGTTAAACCATAGGAATCCTGGCATAGTCAAGTTTAACAGAACATTAACTATTACAAACTCTTTATTATTTCTTCTAGTTGCTTTAGCTTCTCTTTTCTGACATCCATTTTCATCTTTTCTTGTTTTTTTTCCTTTCCTTTGAATGACATTTTGCTTTCTTTGTGTATGATGTTCCTGATGTCCTCCCATAATTCTTCTGCTTTTTGGTTATTCGTGCCAAATACATGAGATCTATACTTGATATGTTCTCTAAATTCAGGTGGGATACACTCAAGGTCATATTCTAGCTCTCATGTACTTGCTATACTTTTCTTTAGCTTCAGTCTAAACTTGCTTAAGAGCAATTAACGGTCTGCTCTGTAATAGATTTTGGGCTTGCTGTTGTTGATGATATTTAGCTTCCACGTAATCCCTTTCCACAGATGTAGTCAATTTGGTTCCTGTGTATTCCATCTCATGAGGTTCATGTACATTGTCACCATTTATATTGTTTTAAAATACTATTTTCAACGAATAAGTCATTGGCTTTGCAAAATTCTATCGTGATTTATAGCATCTTTTCTATCGTTAAGATCGTATTTTTCAACTTCTGATATTTCCTTTTTGTTTCCAACTGTTTCATTACAACCACCAATAAATATCAATACTTCTTGGTTGCACGTTTGATCAATTTCAGACTCAAGAAGGTGGTGGTGGTTGTGCCACCGAGTCAGTTCCAACTCATAGCAACAGAGTATAGGGTTGCCAAGGGTGTAAATCTTTATGGGAACAGAAAGTCTCATCTTTCTCCCATGGAGCAACTGATGGATTCAAAGCACTGATCTTGGGCTAGCAGCCCAACTCATAATACACTGTGTTACAAGGGCTCCTTTAAGAATTTGATAGTTTCATCATCACTGGCTTTATTGATTGGTGTATAAATTTGAGTAATAGTGGTATTAGCTGGTCTTCCTTGTAAGCATATTGATATTGTCCTAAAACAGACAACATTGTACTTCAATGCTTTTAGAATTAATGTGATGCCATTCCTCTTCAGTTTGTAGTTTCTGGGATAGTAAACCAAATATTTGTCCAATTCAAAATGGTGAATATGGGTCCATTTTGGTTCACTTTGTTGTTGTTAATTCCATAGACTTGGTTCTAATTCATAGTGACCCTATATAGGGTTTCCAAGGAGTAGCTTGTAAATTTGAACTTCTGACCTTCAAACTGATCTTGAGGTGTATTAATCCTTGTGCCTTTCATTTCATTTTGACAACTTCCAATTTTATTAGAATAATAAGTTTTACATTCCACATTCCAATTATTAATAGATGTTTCCAGCCGTATCTTCACATTTTGAGTTGTGTCAGATCAGCAAATGAAGTCCCCAAATAGCTTAACTCTATCCATATTATTAAGGTCAACTCTACTTTGAGGAGACAGCTCTTCTCCAGTCATATTTTGAGTGCCTCCCAGCCCAAGGGGTTCATCACCTGACACTATATCTGACAATGTTCCATGCTATTCATAAGGTTTTCAGTGGTAAACCTTTCAGAAGTGGTCTGCCTATCCTTAGTCTATCTTATTCTGGAAGGTCTG